TTGCTTTTACTGCTTTCACCTTGTTGCTTTGCTTTTACTGCTTTTGTTTATTATTTCTCTGCTTCTTTCTCTTTTTTCACTCTTTCTTTTTTTTTTTTTTTTTTCTTTCGCTTTTTTTTCTTTACTTTTCTCTTTTCTTTTTGCTTTTCACTCTTTTTTTTTCTGTTTATTTCTTTTCACTTTTTTCATTTAATTTTTTTTTGCTTTTCTCTTCTTTTTTTTTCTTTCGTTTTCCTCTTTTTTCTTTTCTTTTCCCTCTTCTTTCTTTTCACTCTTCCCTTTTGTTTCTTATTCTTTTCTCTTTGATTTCTTACCTTTTTTTTTCGGTTTTCTCTTTTTTCTTTCTTTTTTCTCTCTTCTTTCTTTTCGCTCTTCTCTTTGGTTTCTTTATTCTTTTCTCTTTGTTTTCTTAGATTTCTTTCTTTCTTTTTTCTCTTTTTTCTTTTCCTTTCCTCTTCTTTTTTTCCACTCTTTCCTTTTGTTTCTTTTCGTTAGTTTCATTCTCTTTTTTTGTTTTCTTTGATTTCTTTCTTTTTTTCTTTCATTTTCTCCTTTTTTCTTTTCTTTTCTCTCTTCTTTTTTTCGCTCTTCCTTTTTGTTCTTTTTGTTGTTTTTATTTTTCTTTTTAGTTTCCTTTAATTTTTTTCTTTTTTTCTTTCATTTTCCCCTTTTTTCTTTTCCTTTCCCTCTTCTTTCTTTTCGCTCTTCCCTTTTGTTTCTTTTCATTGTTTCATTCTTTTCTCTTTGTTTTCTTTTGCTTTTTTCTTTTTTTTTCTTTCATTTTCCCTTCTTTCTTTTCTTTTCCTCTTCTTCTTTCTTTTCGCTTTTTCTTTTTGTTTTTTTTGTTGTTTTCATTCTTTTTTCTTTGTTTTTTTTTGATTTCTTCCTTTTTTTTTCTTTCATTTTCTCTTTTTCTTTTCTTTCCCTCTTCTTTCTTTTCGTTCTTCCTTTTTGTTTCTTTTCACTATTTTTATTCTTTTCTTTTCATTTCTTCTTTTCGCTTTTTCCATTAATTTTTTTTGGTTTCTTTTTTTCTATTTTCTACTATTTTTTTCCTCTTGCCTTTCTCTTCTCTTTTCATTTTTTATTTTCATTTTTTCTTTTTCTCTTCTATTTTTTTGTCTTTCTTTTCTTTTTTTTCTTTTTTCTTTCCCTTTTTTTCATTCTCCTTTCTCTTTTTTTTGTTTTCCTTTTTTGCCTTCCCTTCTC